CCCCCCCCCCCCCCCGAAAAAATTGAAAATACGCCACTGATTAAAATAACTAAAAAAAAATGTCAACTTGACAAGATAAATAAAATTACAGAAGAATATATTTTATAGACAATCGTATTTTAAATAATTAATATTCAATACATTTTTGTAATAAATGCTTCAGATTTTGAAATAAATTGAAAAAATCAAATAAACTATCTTTATGATAATTTTTCAACCACCTTGTGACAAGAGAAAGGGGTGAGTTATTACAGTCAAATTTAACACACGATACTTTTTTACATCAACTAACGAAATTGGGAGGTAAGAAATCAAAATTAGAAAAGTTTAAAATTAAGGACCACCCTAATATATATAGACGGCGATAAGAAATTATGAAAATATAAATCATGTTAACTATTGGTGGGATAAGCTATTGTCTACTATTTTTTCATATAGGAATATATGTAACATATTTTACAATATCAGAAAACCTAAAAACGTATATAAATGAAATTATATGTAATACCATAAAACGTATAACCTTAAAAAATGTACCACTGTAGACACGTGTCTATAGTGTTTGTATATAAATACGCCATTGCTAACAATCTTGTTCTTGGATGGGGTGGGTGTAAGTTTTAAATTGATGGCTATCGATCAGACTATTCAAAATGTTATTCAGCACCATTACAATCAGCAACATATTTCCCGATCAAACCAAATCAAAAATTATTCTAATATTGAATAGGCAATAATAAAAGGTTAGGCAGAGGAGTCATTTCAACTTTTGAAAGGGTGGAGCAACTTATTAAATTTGCCAACTTCATAATATTTAATATTTGTGGACGAAATACTATCAAAAAAATATTTTTTTAGAACAAAACATGTAAGGATTAATAATGAATAATGATGTCATGATGATAAACAAAGAACATGAAACGTTTTAATTTACGCCAATTAAATAAAAATATTAAATATAGTAAAACATTAATTTATTTACATATATAAGTTACCTATCAATAGGTTTAATGGAATAATAATATAAATCTAATTAATTATATACTTATAATTTTATTATTTGTATATTTAATACTTTACAGAACTTATTTATAAAAACATAAAATTGTATCTCAAATATAAAGTACCGTAGTTTGGGGTGAATAGGAACAATTTTAACGGTTTTTTAAAGATTATGAGCTCAATTTTTATGGTATCGATATCACAAAAACTGTTTTAATAAGATCACATATATAGAAATATATAATATACCAAAAATAAAGTTTATAGGGTTCACGTAATAACTATTGTCATAAACCGGGGAGGAGCCAGTGTTTCCCAACTTTTAATAAACCGTGAACGTGTATTTAAAAGAGAATATTATCTGATTTCTGAGTAAATAAAAATTTACTATTAACCGATTTTAGCATTTAATCATTAGACAAAGAATTGCCGACTTTTTAAAATTTCTTAGAATGGGGCATTTTCCATAGTCTGCCTCCCCCAAAGTTAGGTAACAAAATATATTCATAAGATAAATATTGTTCATCTACTTATTCGTAAATAGATAATGATATTTACATTTAAATATTAATATATTAATCTTTATTGGGGTATAAATTAATTTTTGACATTGTTATCTTAATTTACACAGTAGTTAGTAGAAAACGGAAATATAACTGTTTCGTAACACTGATTCAGTATTAAGACGTAATATTTTTTAGTTAAAAGTAGTCCATTTAAATATATATTACAAAGAAGTCTATCATCAAAAAATAAATAAATAAATAAATAAAAATAAAAAATTGTAAATAATAAGTATAAAGCAAATTTTAAATTTTATTATTATTAATAAACAATAAATAGAAAAAAATGGAACAATGTCATTATTAGTTTCTTAAACCATATCATCCTAATAATTGTTCCTACATATATAATCTTAATAACCATTAATTCTAAGTCCAAATTATAAATAGATACATAACTTGTATTAAACATAACATGTTAAATACAACATGTATTGTTGTATACAAATACAACAATGTTAATACCAACACAAATAAGTATGTAAATTTATATTTTTTCAGATGGTTGATAAAATAGTTAAACCAAATTTCTTAAGAAGGTAAATTGCAATTTTAGTATTGAAACTTTCAAAAAAAAAAAAAAGTCACTTTGGTAAATAATAGCATTAAAATATTACTCTCTCTTCTTCCCGTTATAATCAAAATATAATTGAATATCATTTGGGAAATATCAAAAATTAATTAAATAACGAACAATCATAAAAATATTCAGTCAACAGTTCAAGTTCCTAGTAGTAGTTTTTAGTAGTATATTTTAGTAGTTATGATGAAAAAAAAATTTGATTTTATTGAAAACTGTTAATCCGTTTTTTTTTATAAATATATTGTCAATTTTTCTATAGAGAAAATTTTTGTTGGGAAAGAAAGGAAACCCCTACTTAACCATAAATAGCGACTAGACCAACAATCGGCCACTGACAGCCAACATTAAATTCCAAAACTAGGAAATTTCATTGAATATCATATTAATTTCATGTATTGTCTGGCCCATGAACCCTTTTTAATTTGTGAATGTGGCCCTAGGATCCAAAAAGGTTGCCGATCACCGACTAAACTACATTTGTTATCAAAAACTTCCTATGATTTTTATCAAAATGGTGGAAATACAAATAATAAAATAAAAGCAGATATATAAAAATTCATATATATATGTGATAAGATCCATATCATAATATCAATACATTCTTTGAATCACACAGAATCTAAAAATTTCAATATTTAATAAGTAATTCATATCTTTGATTGTATTTTTAAATTCAACATTTTGTATTATTTATTGTAAGTAATAATTCCTTTATAAAAGTAGAGAAATAATATAAATAATAATAATTTGGAAATTGTAAATGGACTTAATGTAAATTTTAGTACAGCTACTTTGTATATTTTCTTCACATGTACTTAATCCTAATAAAAATACATAATTTATAATACATAATACATAATATTTTATTGCCACTGTACTTGAGCCCTTTAGGTGTTTACATCAAATAAATAAATAATATTTAATTATAGAAGAAAAGTTTTTTAAAGCTGTTCATTGTACTCATTATTACTTTTAACTTTCTTTTCATTGCAATTTTTCTTATATGAACAACAGTAGACAATATTAGTAGTAGTATATGCAATGTAATTGTTATAATGTTATTTTAAATTAAATATCAAACTCATTTTCGTATATTAAGTTTTAAATAACCTTTAAGTCACTTAAAAATAAAATATTTTAAATAAGGCACTATTAAAAATATATTTCAAACTTAAAACTTTAACCATTTAGAAGTAGAGATAAGTCAACTGGATACAATATTACTTTTAAAAATAAAAAAAAAAAAAACAAAAATTACCTCTGGTTTCAATCGTCTATCTTCTTCAAATTCTGAACTATGAGATGACGCCGTTGTAACATCAGATCCATGATTCATATGAATATCATCATAATAATTGAATGGCTGAAAATTAATCATTTTTTAAGCTGTGAAAACGAGTTAATACTATTAAATACTATAATAATTATACATTGCCTAGATGTACAATTTGGATCAATTACATAGTCTTATTATGAGTTTGAAAATCTATTTAGTAATTAAAAGTTCACTAAATATAATTTTACCTCCATATAGTTTAACCATGATACCAATTTAACAAAATAAGGTAGATTAACTAAACTTAATGGTTAACATTTTCAGTATAACATTTCATAATATACTTAATACTTATAAATAGTACAAAATAAAATAGCTAGAAACTCATACAGTTTAACTGTTATAATTATGTTATTAACAAAATATTATACACAATTGAAGAATTATAATTCTTGTAAAAATGTAGCAGATAATCTTGACAAAATTATGTATAATATGATAATTAAAATATTTATTTTTTGTCAAATTACTATAATTTATTTCAGATATATTAATAAATATTCAATGTTATTTTTATATTGAACTAAGTAAATATGATCGACATTATAAATATTTAATTAATTTAATTTAACATTATTAAGAGCAATCATTTTTTAAATCTATGTTTGTACCTAAACAACTAAAATATATAATTTAAATCAAACTGTAATTTTGTTTTTTTCTTATTATTAATATTAATTTAGACTTGAATTGTTTTATGTTGCTCAATACATAGTTAAAATATTTAAAGGTCATTGTTAAGTTAGACTACAATAGTACCTAAACTATACGCCAACCAAAATAAAAATCAACCAAAGCAGATAAACATCAAACTAATTTTATAAATATTAAAGGTTACAGATTTTGAACTATTTTATAAACTTAAAAAATAAATTTAAAAAATGTTTATGCTTGTTATAAATATAATGTTTAATTATCTAAAAACAAATAAAATAGATTTTAGATAAGAATTCATTATTAAATTTAATCTTATATGTATAGTTTATTTACAATTTTTAACTATTTTTGGAATATTTTTTATAAATTAAAATTATTCAAAATTTAGGAAAACACAGATGTTCTTACTTTACTTATATTTATATCTTTAAAAAATCCTAGTTATTTAGATCAATGGTTTTAAGCATATGTCCAACCATGGACAACTTTTTGAGACTTTATTTTTATTAGCATTATTTAATTTTTTTAAAAGATAATACATAAATAATTAAATAGTACACTTAGATAATATTTGCAGCACACAAATTTAAATCAGTTGACAAAAACATATATTAATATTTTCAAAAAACAACTATAAAACTAGTAATTTTTCACTCAACTCTTTTTTTTAACTCTTGATAACACCATGTATAATAATAATAATGTATCATAAAAGCTATATTTTGGTAAAGACTGTTGCTATGGAAAGACCAATTAATTGGTTTTATAAAAATGTAAATAATAATAAAAAATAACAAATTATGTATCTTCAAATGTATTTCCTACAAAGTTTAAAATAAAATATGAATAAGTAAATCTTATCAAATGTTGAATTAAATACAACTGGGAAATTTTTTTAAAACTATTTTTCAAATAGTACTCTTAAAAATATCTGTATTAAATATTCTAATTATACTACAGTTAAGAAAAAAAAAAAGCAAAGCTAAAAAGTATTAACCAAACAACTAGAAAAGTTTTTCAAGCTTCATAATGTAGAAATATGACCGTTAAGTTACTTCCTTATTATATGATTTAATCATTTATAATCATTTCAATTTGCAAAACTTGTTTAAATTATAATTCAATTTAGATATATTTAATGTTATTGGATACTAAATTTATAAATTGACTATGAATTAGATATTATAACAATTTTAAAATATACAATGCAACATATTTTACAGTATTAAACAATTATTTTCAACTATAGATATAATTGGAAGTATAATATATTTTCTGGTTATGACAAACATAAATTATTGATATAACCTATTCTATTGTGTTTTTTTTTTTTTGGTCAGGCATTATTCAAATAATAAAAAAAATTATTATGTAAAAGCTTATCAACTTTAGCATTTATTATGATTTAAACAAAGAAACAATATAAAAACAATTTAATTGCTATCTAAAATTTATTTATAAATTACATTTATTGTACTCACATCAGGTCGAAATTGAGTTCCATAAACTTGAGAACCACAAACAGGTTTTGTAAGTAATGATATAGGGTCAAACCCAAGTTGTAAAAGCGTCTGTCGATTTTCAACTTTTAACTGACGAATATCTAACATTAAACGTTTTATATCACCCAAGATCTAAAAGGTATTAAAATAATAAGTTAACCATGAACATAAGTAGTTGTTCATAACTTACTATATTATACAGGTTTAAATATTAAATCTTAAAATTACTTACATTTATACTTATGGGTGGACTTTTTAAGTCTGTTTCATTAATAAGTAAAAGAGCTCGTCCATCGATACAGTGCTCTTCAGTAAGTTGCTGAGAATATTTACTATGACCCTTTTTTTCCAACCAAATAGAAACTTCTCGCGGATTCCAGTTAACTACAGAACTCATTTTATCACTAAATATTTATTAAGAACTAACAAAAATTAAATGTGTATATTTATATAAAAAAAATAAATTTAAATTCATTGCACAGAATTTCATTAGATTTATAATTGTGTTTAATGCACTTTCGAAAGCTATAGAAATGTAAATAAAAATGATAAAGGACGGTGAAGTTGTACAGAACATCTAATCTAAAAAGAAGAATTTTGGCTACGGCAACACGTCGAACACAAACAACAGATATTCTCTCGTAGCAAATGTAGTAACTACACAATGTGTTACGCGACTGAACAAACGCAACACATTGTAGACCGTATTTTACAGCAACACTAAGAAAATCGTATTATCTTTATATCGTGATGCACTGATATGCGATCATGATAAAAACCACAAAATGATAATAACAGGCAGTGTGCACAATTTGTGTACACATAAAGAGTTCGAAATTCAGATAATTTGATTTGATTAAAATTTGTATTTTATTCACACATTGATTTATAAAACATGTAAATAAAATGAGAAAAATGTATTTCATTTAATTGGTTAATATTATTTTTATTTAGAAAATAAATTTAAATACAAGCTAAGACATAGTAAAAAACAATTGGTTCATTTGTTGGTCACATTGTCAAGTGCCGCCAATATTCCCGCCATTATTGGCCAAATCTTTTGTAACTTGGGTTACTAGTTGAATTGTGCTCCGTTTTACTTCCCAATCGACACTTTGTTAGAGTTTGTTTCATGTCACCGCGTGGACGCTTTTCAATTATTTTTATTGATATTTTAATATTGTTTTACTAGTCAAATTTTTGTTTTCACTCAAGTACACACCATGTTCGAAGCCAGATTATTGAAGAGCGGGCAGCTCAAAAAGATTTTGGAAGCCATTAAGGAACTTTTGAAAGAAGCTACATTCGATTGTTCCGATTCTGGAATTCAGCTACAGGCCATGGACGATGCTCACGTTAGCTTGGTATCTATGTGTTTAAAAAGTTCGGGATTTGATAAGTTTCGTTGTGACCGCAACTTATCAATGGGCATTAATTTGGAAAGGTATGAAAAACACATAAGTGTAGGTTAACCGGTAACAATATTTAATCATATTTTTAAATTACTTTAGTATGGTGAAAATCATGAAATGTTGTTCTAATGATGATATAATGACCATAAAAGCTCAAGATAATGCAGATACACTTACCATTATGTTTGAGACATCAAATCAAGAAAAAATGTCGGATTATGAAATGAAATTGATGAATTTAGATCAAGAACATCTTGGTATTCCTGTATGTTATTTATTTAATTATATTTAAGAAGTATAGTTAAATTAGTGTTGTATACTTTAATCTACTTCATTTTAATTAATTAGACAAACTCATCAGTATTCATCATTAATGGTTATTTATAGAGTTTAATTTAATCATTTTTTAAATAGAATTAATTTCTTTCAATTAGTTTAATAAATTTAATAACATATGTAATGAAATCAAAATTATTAATTAATAATTATTCATTAATTTATTTAATATATTATTAATTAAAAATTTTAATAGTTTATTAATTTTTAATTTATCATACTTTGGTTATAATTATTTATGTACTAAAAATAAAAAATACACTTTAATGTAGAAACTAAATTTTTTGTATACTTTTAATTTTTTTTAGTGTTTATGTCTATCATATAAGATTGCTGTTTATATTCAATACAAGAAAATGAATAAAATAATAAGTTGATGTATTTATCATTTACATGATACTTAATTTTTCTTATTATACTGCTCAAGAATTCTAATTTTTTCAAATTAAATAAAATTAATCCATCTTTGAATTGGGTATTAAAATAATTCTAAATAAACGATTGATTGGCATGAAATTATTAAAGTTGCATCGATAAATTTATGAAGTTATCTTAATACAAGAAATTTCTATAAATATTTAAAAAATTTAATATCTGTAATTTAAGTTTAAAATTTTAAATTGAATATATTTAATTACATTTTTATTAATAATTTTTAATGTGAGCAATATATGTTTTTAGGAAACAAACTATTCTTGCATAATAAAGATGCCTTCATCTGAGTTTGCCAGAATTTGTCGAGATTTGAGTCAGTTTGGAGAATCAGTAATTATTGCTTGTACTAAAGATGGAGTCAAATTTTCTACATCAGGTGACATTGGATCAGGTAATTTTGAAAACATATTTGTTGGAATGCATTTTTTACTGTTATTTATCTTTTACCTTTATAGCCAATATTAAACTTTCCCAAAATTCATCTGTTGATAAAGAAGAAGATGGAGTCACTATTGAGTTGCAACAAGCTGTATGTTTGACGTTCGCTTGTCGTTACCTAAATTTATTTTGTAAAGCAGCTCCTTTAGCTCCACAAGTAAGATAACTAATATCTAATATTTATTTATTTATTTTGGTATTAAACTTATGTTTGTTTCAATTTTAGGTTATTTTATCAATGTCGGGAGATGTTCCACTAGTTGTAGAATACCAAATTGAAGAGTTGGGTTATATCCGATATTATTTAGCACCTAAAATTGAAGAAGATGATTAATCTATATACATTTATTTACGTAAATGATTCTTAAGGACAAACTTACTGATTTAGTATTTAAACCAAATTTTTCTTTATATACTTAAAAAAATTCTTTTTAATTAATTTTTTTGTAATTTCTTTTAAATATATATACAACATGATAAGATTGTAAAAAATAAAGTACTGAAATAAATATAAAGGAAAGTTATTATTATGGAGTTACTGAGCATATAATAAAAGTACATTTTTAATATTACAAGTTAACATATTTTCGGAATAAGTACAATAAATATTTGCTATAAGTAAAAAATCGTTGAAAAATAATGTAAAATGGAATGATTCCTAATTATTTTTACATCACTATATACATTTCATTAAGATTTTACACAATATAATATAATTCAATATTTGCAGGAAGACAATGATCTTTTTATCATTGTTGAAAAATAAATTTTTAATCTTAACATCTGCTTACTTTGTACTAGTATCAAAACTATCATATACTTAGTTAAAAGTTTTATAAAAAAAAAATATATTAAATAATTAAAAAGCATTGCACTAATACAGAAGATTATCTCATAAAAAACTGTACCAATTGGTACACTTGTACATTTTCTTATTATTTAATTGGAAGTAAAATCTTATAGGGCACATTATTAAAATATAATATAAACATAAGCTGTCAATTAATATTGAAAGAAATAAATGGAAAGTAAAATTAAGTTGGAAAGTTTACCTATAAAATATATGTATACTATGATATATGTCAGGATTAAATAATGATCAGGCAGCTAACCTGTATTTTGAAAAGAATTTTGCCAATATCTACTTTATTTGGCCTTTTATCATTAAATCTTTATAAATACAGAGAGGTAGTCCAGAAATTATGCCAAATGTGCTTGGTCATCATTTTATCCTGGTCGCAATATTTATAATCAGATATATTCAATTTTAAATATAAGTTTGATCAAAATGGTTAACACTTTATGTTGTTGGTGGTACTTCATCTTGTGCATTACAGTATTCAACCATAGCATTAGGACTTATAACTGTATCGTGTAATGTTCTCATATGTCTCAGTAAATTACTTTTTACATTAAAACCTTTATTGCAAACTCCACACTGATATGGTCGTTCACCTGTATGTGTTCGACTATGTATCAACATACTTGCATGTGATGGAAATGTTTTAGTGCAAGTTGGACACACTTTTCGGCCATTCATTATTCTTGGCCGTGGCCGTTTGGCTGAAGGCAATATACCAGATCCACCACTAGCTAAACTATTTGTGATAGCCAACTGCTCTTCTGTGTGTGCACTTTGAATATGTCGCACCCAATCCCCAGGTGTCTGGTATTCTTGTTGGCATAGTTCACAACGTAAAGGTGGTAACTCGCCACCATCATCTTCATCCTATTTAAAGTTTAATACAAAATATTTAGATTGTTCAATTATAAAAAATATAATTTTATATCGAGAATAATGTAATACAATTTTATGATATCACATTGTGAATGTAAAAACAATTTACGTACAGTGGTTTTTCTTCGTTTTCTTTTTGGTAAATCAGTAATCGAACCTAACTCGTGAGTTTGAATGTGTCTAACCCAAAGGGCTGGAGTTCGAAATGTTTCTTGACACATATCGCACGTCAACGGAGCATAATAATCAGAATCCGCTTCCTCGTCTTCTTCATCATAATTGGAAAATAGTTCCTGAAAATATTAAATAATATACATCTAAATATTTAAAGATAATAATTTTACTCTTAAGTCATGCCAATGATTAATCTAATATATCATCATACTGGTTGAATTGTCATTTCAGTTCGATCATTGTCATTCCATTCTAATGGTTCTTCTTTGACTGTGATCTCCAGTTGTAAAGCATTGTGCATCGGATCTTCGTTTTCCGAGTTTTCTTTTTTTACTTCACTATCATCGTTTTCTTTGTCTTTTTCATTTTCTTTATTTTCGTTACCATCGGATCTGACCGACAGAGGCATATCTCCCTTGAATTTTTGTTTCGCTATATCATCTTTATTAATATCGGGAGTCAGTTGGCTGGGAACAACACCGACAGTGTTCTCGTTACTTCGGCACAGTCCTCTGACCCTCAACACTTCGCCGGCCTTTAGCACTCGATCTAGCTGGCTGTTGGTGACTGTTGCTTCCCCGCTATACATGTATTGAAGTAGTATACAAAGCGTACGATAACTAATGTCTGCAGGTAGAACGATAACCAAATTGTTGGACAAACAGCTCTGAAATACTTGGTTCAAGTAAGCGCTACAAGCCGATAGTACGAAGCGGTGTGCTGACACGTTGCGCCCATCAGTCGTGCTCAACGTCACATCGGTAAATGCCGTGGTGCCATGTAACGTCGCAATAGTAGAATGTAAATGAGCACCGTGACTATGCCATTTTAATTGATAGTTTTCTGCGTTTGCCATGTTGGACATAATGTTTATTGCGATCTAGAAAAAAAGTATTTTAAAAATAATTTAAATGTATCATGTGACTATGTTGAATTGTCGGTATCAGAAGACAGTTACTCGTTTTTAATTTTGGCGGTACACGAAGAACAATTTAGACCATTCGTTATATAAAAAAAAAAAAATGTTTAGGTATTTAATTTTTAGACTAAATCAGCTAGTTGATTTTTTTAATATATTTATGTCAACATACTAAACGTTATTACAATGTCATAAACTTACAAACTAAGGAAAAATTATTGTTTTCTTAATTCTATAGTAGATACTTCACAAACTATGGAGAAATTATCAAAAATTGAACTAGATTTTAGACTATTTTGTATTTTATAGTTCATGGAATAGAAGTAAGTTTACAATGAACATATAACCAGAGGATGAATAAAAATTAAATTCATGTGTACCTAGACTTTATTATTTTTAATTTTTTTTTTTTTTACTTTTTAGTGTGAAAATTGATTATTATATTCAATGATAATGGTCCTAAAATATATCCTAATGTAATCTTTTACAAATTTATTAAAATATTTTTTATAAAAAATTTCAAATTAAAATTAAGACAAAAAAAATAAAGATAAAATTTTTGTTTATTTATATTTTATTTATATGATCTTGACTAGGCAATTTTAATTTTTTACTATTTAAGAGTTTGAAAAATTATATGAGCGCTAAGTATGTAGTAAAAAAGCTTTTAAATCTATATACTAAATTTAGCACTAATATTTTTTGTGCACGGTATCCTAAAAATTATAAACCAATTTTTATGATTCAGATGTGCATTGAAAAGGTTCAAGGTATGGTTGTATTAAAGCGAATCAGAATTTCGTTAAGTAGTTAGGTTAGTTTTTATTAAGCGAGGGAGGTGTTCGGTTCCCAATATCGATATTGCCATGGTAACTACTATTAGTGTGAATCATTTTATAATATTCTATTCAATAATTAAATATCAATTGATAATCGAATAAATATAACAAAATAGTTATAACTACATAAATATGCACCGTATATACTACACAATGAACACATCGTATTCACAAATATTCTAAAACTCCTAGAAATTGGCCCTTCGTTGACCAACATAGATTTAATCATAAGTATTATTAAAACACTTCAAATAAAATCATTTTCGGTCTATCTGACAGAAAATTCCCAGCTTTTTAATTAGATAAAATAAATTATTACATCAAATACATTGTTTATTTATTTTTTGTTTGCTTGCATTGATTTATTATTAAATCATCATATGATATTCATATATTTATTGTCAAATAAATATTTCATCATTTATTTGAAACTTAACGACGTTGATAAAACTAATTATAGAAATTATGACAACATTTGAAGTGTTTCTAACTCGAAAAAATTCTAAATAATGTTTTCAATTTTGAAAGATTATTAATATTTTCAAAAATCAATACGAATTTATATGTGTGAATACTAAAAAAAAATTCCACGAGTCTGTCCGTACTTTGACCTTAAATCCACCACTGATAATATTTACTATACACAACATGAATATTTTATATGAATCCAGTTACTACAAAAGAAGTTTTTAAAACATTCATAACGTTTACGTCGATTTATACCCTTGACTAGAGAAGTATCTCTATTATTTAAATAATTTTAAACCACAAAAACTCGAAGTTTTATAATATTTTAATCAATGAATTGTCGTTTTAATATTCGATTAATAAATTTAAGTATCAACATTTTCAGAAAAATATTTATACTTGTTATAGATTTTTTTTGCTTTAAAAATCAATAATTTTTAAAAATGTTATGAATATTAAAAGATATTAGAAAATATTAAGTAACTATAAATAAAGTTAATTTAAATGTACAATAGTATATAGCGATATTTTAAGCAGTTGACAATTTGACATTGTACTTCATAATTTTATTGCTAATAAAAAATTAAAAATTTTAATTGAAACTAACATCGTACTAACATTTTGTAAAAAGTAAATTAAATTTTGTTATTTTATGTAGTTACATACCTAAAAGAAAAAAACATAATGCTCTTAAATAAAATGTATTATAATAATAGGTACATCAAATATAGTAATATGTTATAGTTATCTGTAAATATTGTGATGCGCATTAGATAAGCCTATAGTTAGTGTATGTTTCATGAAAGGGAGAATTGTAGTTAACATGCACAGTGCTTTTCTGGTGTATGCAAATTCGATCAGTTATTTTAGATAAAATAAATTTTACAACGGTTATAGCTTATGAGTTATAATTGTTATAATTGATTACCTGAAACCTGAAAGTAATACAGTATACGTAAGTATACATAGCCGGATATAGTTTTATGTCTATGAACTATGATCATCCATTTAATGAAGAGAGACATTGTATATCATAACCTATTATAGTATGTAAATTATTCTAATGCTAGAAATATTTAATATTCAACTTAACATCTTAATGCCTGTCCCAATTGACACCATTATTCCAATTTTTAATTCAAAATATTCCGTATTATAAATTACAATCAGTTTCCTCTGAAATCTTAAGGATAATTTTATAGTTTGTCTATGATATATGCGTATGTATACTAACAGTACCAATGAGTTACAAGTATTAAAATAAAAACAAACAATTTTAAATTTTAATAAATGTTATGAATTAGGTATAACAATCTTCAATTTGTTTAAATGTAACGGTTAATTTACTAATTATCACTATTTGATAATACGAGTATATGGCTATTAATATCATACTTATTTAATTTATATAGTTTTATTTATCTATACAGTGGCGCCGATCCCAATGTGTAAGTTACGAATGCAATACCTAATTTAGGTAGGTGGTCCCGTGGTGGACAGGGGTACATTGTTACTAGGATGTATAAGTTATAGGATGTATGTATGATATATGTATAGGATATATAGTTACTTGGATTTTGGATAAAAGACTGTATAAAAATTACAGTTATTAACCAATTTACCTACTCAGTATTTATTGAAATTATATTCATATTTTATTTTTATTTAATACCATATGAAACAGACATCGGCACCACTATGTGTATAGATATTAGATGATCTTTAAATCGGTAATCTTTTTTGTGAGATATTTCTCGATACATTATAGTTACCATTATTATAATTATTATTATATAATATATAGTGATTATTTATGAAACTACCATAATACACTTTCATGAGAAAGTAATGAAAATACCTCATAAATAATTATTACTTACGGCACGTGCGACCGACGTTTAACTGTACAACATAAAAGTTGGTATATACGAGCCATGAGAGTATTTTCACGCAGGATAGTTAAATAAAAATTAATTCGATAAGAAATAAAAATTTGGACCATACATAATATATAATAGATACACCTACTATAATTTAGTTTAAACATTGTAGATTATAATAAGAAATAATTGTATTTAATGTAAATTCATTAACGGATATCAATCATATATCATGGTTCGAGGTAATATACAAATAATATATGTTTTGCATTTTTCGTTCGATTAAAACAATAAAAATACATTATACCAGCACCGATGCATAATATAAACCTAGCGTACATACAATTGCAAAGTACGTATGCGCAAATGATGTACTTCCGACTTTGGAGTTTATCAGGCGCTGCATATAATTATTACGTGGGTCGATATTTTTTATTCTTATTATTTTCTGCGAGTTCGTCGTCGAAGAACCAAAAACAACGATGTGTTGACGATGCAACGGAACACGACCATTTGCGTACCACATACCCCGTACGCTGTATATGAAAGTTTCGAAATCTCCTAAGACGTACCTATACAAATACATCCAGGTAACCTGTTTTAGGGTGATCGAACTTTGTACGACGGTCGATGATAGCGATTTATTGCCATGCGGCGCCGTGTTCGTGTTGGTATACCCAAACATTTTATGCGCATAACATACATATTACATTCGAATAAATACGTATGCGTAAACATTTGTATTTAAATTTATTTTTATTTTTACCTGCGCGCGGTTACAGGCCTCCTCGTCCGCGGCGATCTACCAACTGCAGCGACTGCGGTCCAGCTGAGGCGGCGGCGTCTGCGGGTTGCTGCACGACAGCGGCGGCGGTAGCGGCGACGATACGTTAATAGTAGCGGGCGGACGGCGAGCGACGGAACGACTATGGTCCGCGCGTGAGAACGATACTACTATAACGCGCGCACACGGGGGCGGCTGTACGGGAAACGCGCGCGGCTTCGCCGACGGTTGAGCGTAGGGAAAAAAAATCGATAAACAATACTGATTATTGATTTTGGCACCGCCGATGACGCGGCGGCTGCCGCTATCGTATAGTCGCAGTAGTAGCACTACGTGCACGCGCCTATCCACCACGTTATATCCCGAGCGCGCGCCCCTCCGCCGCGGCCGTCGTCCCTCCGTCGTGGTCACGACCCAGGGTCGGGCGGCGAAGCTTATTACCGAAAAAACCAACCTCTTTGGAAAGTCGGCGGAAAGTATAACGACGGTAATCCCGTTGTCGCCGCTGTCGCCGGCCGTCGCGCCGCGCGTACGTTGTAGGCAATGCCCGAATATAAAGCACGCACAAGTCCAATATACGACAAGCAATGTATACGTAATATACGGCAAAATACGAACGCAGGGGGGTTACAGGTTCAACCATCCCTCCTAAAATATCAGAAAAAATTTTATAAAAAAAATTACCAGACCTACAAATTCAATAGTTACTTCAAAGTTTCGCCATGAGACTCTCAAATAAAGTATTTATACAGTGTAATGATTAATTAATCATGCTAATAATCAATATTTTATGCATACATTTTTTTCAAAATTATGATGAGACAAGAGGAAATAAATGCAGTAAGAGCTGTTATGAAGATTAACGTTAAATGGAAAACAGAAAGAAGATAAAAAAAGAGATAGTTGGATACGATTGAGAATAATATGAGAGATGTTGGTATATGATTAGGGAATGTAGAAAATCGAGACGTGCGGAGGTTTAGGACAAAGGTGACATAGGTGGCCAAATAGTTGGGAGAAAGGTGAAGGAGAAGAAGAAATATTTTCAAAACTCCTATCAAACATTTTTCCTGCGTTCATCTCTGGTAGACGATATTTATTCATTAGTGAATATTGTTTTAACATATGACAAGTGCGCCTTTGTAGGCCACTGCAGAGGCGTAATTACGAAAAATTCTAGAAGGTGAACTAAAAACATACATGGTCGTTATAAAAAATATTCTGCGTTGCCAATTTTGTTTTAATTGATTGATAAAAATAATATATTGTATTATGAATAAGTTTACCCAATTTTAATTTTAATTTAATTTACCCAAACTAACACCTGCAGGCAATGGTCAACAATCCTTGTGCATTTCCTTAATATTTCTTAAAATCTTTGTATAACAAATTAATGTATAAAATATATAAAATTAATATTTTCATACTTTATGAATGTTTAATATAAAGTTCACTTGTGATCCATTATAATTACACTACTGTTTATGACGATATTATTTATTAAAACGAAATACCATTAATCATCGCTACATCTCAAAAACGACAGATCATATGAACTTGCAATTTAACATTAGGTTTCACTATCACTCTTAATATGCAATAAGAAAGAATTTTCCAAAATTCAATTCTTAAGGTGGTTAAAAGGTGTAATTATGAAAAAAATCACCTAGTCTAGCAAAGAAAGACTCTAAAAAAAAACATAAAATACTGACTAAGCATACATATATACAAAATTAAAAAGTTAAATGTAATTAATGTAAAACGAGAGATTCAGTTGGGCTCATTATTCTTTACCAAAAATTAAATTAAATAAATAAAAATCTATTTAAAAAAATACAAATATCATGATATTATAGTATTATAGTTAATATTCTATACTATAGTACATCATATATTATTTATGAATCAATAATTGCAGAAACGTCAGGAGTCACATTGTTTATGAAATTAAGATAATAGTAAAAACGTCTTATGTTTTACTTTATTTATCAGATAAATAAATAATAATCCGTGATTTTACATTCAACGCATGGAAACACATAACTAGTACCTATACGTTTTTACTAGTATCTCAATTTCATAAAATATGTGCCTCCTGACCAGTGGCGGAACAAGGGGGTGGAAGACGGGGATTCATCCCCGGCGAAAAATTGTATTTATATAGTTTTTTCTAATTATTAACAACTAATTTGATATTTTTAACTTTGTATTAGGTTAAAACTCAATAAGTATAATTTTATAATTAGAAAAAAAATTCTCGAGAAGAATATTTGATTGTTGGTCAATGATAGGGCGTAATTTTAACATTTTCCCCGGGCGTAAAAATTCCTAGTTCCGCCTTTGCTCCTGACATTTCTTTAATCATCGATTTATATTAGCTAGGTATCACAATTGTGAAAATTAAGAAATAATATTTTGATTACTTATGTTACACATGAAACCTTCACAACTACTAATTCCAATAAAAAAATGTATAAAGTATAAAGTATTAAGATATATATTACCTATATAATAAATTATTTGTACGTATTATTTGACAATCCCCCCTTTTTTTTTCTGGTAATTATTTTGACTGGTATTTTTTTTATAAATTTTAATGTTCAAACCAACTTCCTAAGTTAAAAATTAGCGGAGTTATGAATTTTTTTAATGTTTGATATTATTTTTTTAAATTTTTGAACTATCCACAAATTTGATGACTTAAATTATTTTTTCCCCCATAATATGATATTTCCTAGTATTACTTTTAGTACCTACTTTTGGGAGGGATAATGCTTTATCTTACCATACTTTTTTCCTCATGTAATAATTTGTCTCCCTTGTTAATTAAAAAAACATACATTTTTTTTATAATTTAAATTTTTTTAGTTGGTTCAAATTACATTAATTTATCTTATGAATTATTCAAATTGTTCTCCATCATGAATTTAGTACGCTTCTGCCTTCCGTAGAAATTCCCTATTTGTTGCACTTGAAATTTGTTCTTCAGTTAGCTGATTACATGCCGCATTTATTTTATGTTTCAAATGCATAAAACTAGTAGGTGGGTCTTCATAGACGATAATTTTTAGATATCGCCACAAAAAGTAATCTAGTGGTGTGAGATCTGGGGATCGAGGTAGCCATTGTATTATCCAATAAGTTCTTATCCAACGATTTTCAAAATTTTCATTTAAATAATTTCTCACGACTGTTGCATCCAGGCCCGGCTCTAGTGTTTAAACAAACATAGGCGAAATTTAGTTTTTGCCGCCCCTTACGTGTAAATATTTTATCAAATATTTTTTTTATACATAAAAAATTTCCAGGAAAAATGCCGCCCTAGGCGTAGGCCTATGTCACCTACCCCTTGAGCCGGGTCTGGTTGCATTATGTGCTGGGTATCCATCTTGGTACAAAATCAAATTGTTTCTTGTTGCGAAAGGAATATCGTCTAGCATAATCGGTAACTCTTTCATTAAAAATTCAAAATATCGTCTTCCATTTAATGTACCATTGTAGAAATAAGGTCCCGACAATTTACCTCTAATCAAACCGCACCAAACATTTGTTCTCCAGACACATTGGTTATTTGTTTTAATAATCCAATGGGGATTTTGATTGTCCCAATAACAATTATTTTGTTCATTTATAATCCCATTGTTAGTAAATTTAGACTCATCTGTCCACAATATGTAATTTAAATTTATAGGACTGTTTTCTAATTCAGTAATCAGTGAAGAAATAAACGTAATTCTACGTTCAGCATCACTTTGACGTGATACAACTACTTCAACTAACATCAAACATTTAAAAATTCATAACTCAGCTAATTTTTAACTTGGGAAGTTGGTTTGACCATTAAAATGTATAAAAAAATACCTGTCAAAATAATTACCAGAAAAAAGGGGGTTGTAATTTAAAAAAAAAAAAGTTGTTATGCGCACGCGCAAAATTAAATGGTCTAAAATTAGTTTAATTAGTGTAATAAGTGTATGACATAGTTTGTTAGGCATCCAAAAAAAGATAATTCAAATATATACAGTTTTATAGAGTTACAAAGTGTTTCTAACTATCGATTACACACTATATAGTGATGATTTGTTAAAAATATTTATTTAATAAATAATAGTGATATAATTAATCTAATTAATAAATCCAACCCATGTGTTATATGTTTATATTTTTATATTTATATTTCCAGTACCGGATCTAGGAAATTTGACGCCCGAGACTAACAAAAATGCAGCACCTTTATGTATGTAGAACTATGGGGTATGTTCATAACATCTTTTTATTTTTCATAAACTTAAGAGCATTCTTCCATATAATTCATATATGTATATGGTTTACGCTAATTCTAAAATGTTCAGAGGCATCGTATCGAGAAATGTCTTTAAGAAAACTTTATAAACCTAAACATTGTATAAACAACTTATGCGCTACTGATATTAGAACATTAATCGTTAAACAATTATTGTAGGATAATCAATTCAATCCTAAAAAAAAATGATTATTTAAACGTCTTTAATTAGAATCCAGAGATCATAAAGAATAAAAAAAATATGGTAGTCTTTAATTAAAAACTATATTTCTTAAAACACTAAGTAGAAATTAATGATCATGACTATGAACACTTAATATGTATCATTTTATACATAAAAGTGAATACGTTTTTAGACAAGTTTCTACCATCAAATCCCCCTAGTGATTACAATTGCCGTAGTAACGCCCTTAACGTAGCGCATGGTGTTTCATTTATCGTTATTGCTATGCAGTATACCGTATCAAAGATTGTAAATATTATAACATTATATTTCACAGTATTTTTAACTAGATTGTTTATAATCATCCACAGTAATATCATATTGTGGACTAGAATATTTTATAACATTGAGGAGGACCTTCAACGCATAAAATTGTTCGGCACCGTTCGTAACACGACATAATAAATATAAATTGATATCCTGCACATTATTTTTGCTGTGATTTTTGGGAGGACCGTTTATGCGCATTCGTAATGCATAAAATATTCGTTGGACGCGCGTCTACGACAGCTGTGCAATAATCGCGCTTTTTTTTTTTTCAATAGTGTCTATAAATAAAACCGCGTTTGTTTTTTTTTTATCTATCGCGTAGTTTGTTTGCGTCGCAAAATAATAATTCCGAACCGCGCCGATGCCGGAAAAACGCCGCAGCGCGTGATTTTTTCGTCGAAAATCGCTATAACGCGTGCTTCGCACATACCTACCGACGTATACGCAGTGATTGTGTATTGAATATACAAACGAACGCCCGCCGCGCACGTAGTTTGAGCGCGCTATTGATTTTTTTGTCCCGCAAACGATATACAGTGTTATT